CCTTAATTTTGTAAAGAGTATCTATCAAAAGCTTATGGCAAATATCATAGTTAATTTGAAACTACAGAAAAAACACCATGAGCATCAGGAACAAGGCAAAGGAGCTCCCTATTACCATACCTATTTAATATTGCACTGAAGGTCACTGATTGCATACAGGGGAAAAACAGCATACATAAGCATTTGTTAATGTGAATTATGTGACTGTCTATGTACAAAACCTAAAACAATCTACAAATTATTTTGAACAAAAAATTTAGTGAGCTTTCTAGTTTCAAAATGAGAATACAAAAATCAACTGTGATCCTCAACAAAACAACAAGCTATTAAACTGAAACTGTAACAGTTATTGTTTATAATGCTCCATGCCCCAAAAATCCAGTATGTCTAGGAACAAATTTAACAAATAAAGGTAATGGATTTACTGTAAATATGATTATAAAACTTCAATAACAGACATAAAGGAAAACCTTAAATAATGGAGAGAGACATCATGTTTGTGGAAACGAAGATTCCATGTTACAGACATAAATTTCCCCAAAATTAACCTCTAAATTCAATGCAAGTCTACAAGCTTCTGTTTCTGAAGGGGCATTTGTGTATACTTGGTATATATATAAACCAATAATATAACCCTAACAAGCATATGGAAAAACAAATGGCCAAGAACAGCTAAGACAATCTTAGAAGAAGAAAAAGAAGTAAAGCAGGATATCCTTCCCAGAAACTGACTTCTTATAAAGGTGTAGTGATTAAGATGGCATAATTTCAACTCCTATTTGAGAGCCCAAAAGCAAGCTGAGAGCTGATTTGCAAAGTCCCAAAATCTAGGAAAAGCTAAAACTGAGGCAGCTGCCCAGGTAATAAAAAATGATCCATACAAAGACATATAATTATAACATTTCAGAACACTGGGAAGAATAGAATATCCTAAACGCTTTTAGAAAAGGGAGGAAAGGTTTAACAGAAGAACTGAGATTTAGAATGGCACCAGATATCTCAACAGTAAATTAGAAGACGATGCAATGCCTGCTAAATTCTAAGAAAAATCATTTGAAATCTACATTACTATGCCCAAACAAATTATCAATCAAATATGAGGGTAGAAGTGAAAGCATTTTTCACACGTGCAAGATTATAAAATATTTACTTCCATAAGTAGCTCTCAGGAGAGCTACTGAGAGCTACTACCCGATAAAGAGAAAGCCAGACATGGGACCCAGGAAAGAGAGGATCCACTGCTAGATGGCCATGCAGTGAATCCCACCATGAAGAGTAGGAGAGTCCTGGCAGGACAGTGCTACAACAAGCCGGCAGAACAGTCTGGATGAGAAGGGAGAAGGCAAGACTCCAGCACAGCTCCCTCCAAAGATAAAAGGGAACCACTAGGTTACTTAATGTTTCTGAGAGAGAAAGGAATTAGGGGTTGGAAATTTGGGGATAAACTGGTGAGAGTTATAGAAAACAAGACAAAGTAGTCACTTACACCACGGACAACAAAAAGTGTTCAAGAAAAGAACTGTAATTAAAATAAACTGCATGCAATGGCAAAATTATTAATAATATTTGTATAGAGTCATAAAGAATTGAACAGGACTTAAGGAAAGACACTAAGAAGATAGAAAGTGTATGGGATGGGTGATATGGTAGGAAATTAACAGGTAATAACTAGTACTAAATAATCAAAAGACAGTAGCACAAGTATGATAACAAGAAATATGTAAGTAAAGGAAGCGACAACACAAACAGCCAGAAGACTCCCAAGTGTCTGCCTCCAGCAAAGGAGATTTGGAGGCAGAAAGAATGGGACAAAGGAACGCAGTTTTTATGACAAGCCTCCTTAAAACACATATACATCACTCTGATTTAAAAATAAAATAAAAATAAAGTGGAAATAAAACAAGTAAAAAGGCTTGTTCATTATAATTTTCTAAATGGAGGATAAACATGCTATATGTCCAGAATTATTTTGAGATCATCAGCAAAGAATGAACAAGCAGGAAGACACACCAAGATTTCAAGGAATAAACTTGATCAGGGGTAACTCATACAGACAGAAACAGTCCTCACCACATTCTGGAATGCACAGGGATTTGGAAAGCTGCCTATCAGACTCCAGGAAAAGAGCCCCAGCTTTGAGTCTAAGGGGCGTATGACCCACAGGACTCAGGGAAACGCTAGCTCTTCTCCTGGAATTCTTCTTCACTGTAGCACTCTGCTCTCCAGAATTCTGATCCAAAACCTCCTGAGGCCACAGCCTCCCCGATTTGAATCTGTGTCTCCTCAACTCAGCAAGCCCTCCCTTCTTGCTTCATACCTGCCATGATCAGCTGCCTACTTCATGCTTCACAGAGACGCAGAGGTTATGGAGGCGCAGTTCCACGGACACATTCACATGGTTACTGCCCTCATAGATCTTTACTTCTACAAATACCATAACCCCACAGGACAGTGTGGTAATTTTTGCTTTTCACACTCATCAGATGGCTTTTATGTAAATTTTGAAGGAAAGATGAGCCTTTTTTCCTTTATCCTACAGATCTTATTTATCATATCTGATATTCTTTATCCTACTGATCTAATTATCCAAATGGTATCATTTCCTTTGGATTAAAGGACATTCTTGAGCATCCAGGCCTGCTGGGGAGTGATCTCTTTCATTTAACTGAAAATGTCTTTTATTCACCTTCATTTCTGACGAATATTTTTGCTTGGCAGAGAATTCTTGGTCTATAGATTTTTTTTCTCTTTCTGCACTTTAAAGATATTATTTCTGATGAGACACCTATGGTTATTCTTACCATTTTCCCAAAATATGTAACATATTTTAAATTCTGGCTGCTTTCCATTTTTTTCCTCTTATCTTTAATGTTTGGGAGTTTAATTGTGTGGTTCCTTTTAACCTTGAGGTACACTAAGATTCTTAGATTTGTGTTTTTCACCACATTTGGTAAGTCTGAGCCATCAACCCTACTAATTCTTTCTGTTCCTGTTTCACTCTTTTCTCTTTCTGGTATTCCAATCATGAGGACCCCGGAGCCTGAATTTATTTTGCTTCAATCTTTTCCTCTCTGTTCTTCAGACTGGATCATCACTATTGACTGGTCTTCAAACTCACTGGCACTTTCTTCTCTCATCTCTAATCTGCCATTAATCTCCTCCTGTGAGTTTTTATTTCTATTACTACACTTTAAGTTCTAAAAAGGTCCATTTGATTTCTTTTCTTGCTGAGATTCCTTATCTGAGCCATCGTTAGACTACATTTTGATTCTTTAGACATATTTATTTAAAAAACATATTTATGATACCTTTATTATGTCTCTAAGTCCAATATCTGTGCTATCAAACTTTCTACTGACAACTTTTATTTTTTAAGTCTGTAACAGAATCCCTATCCTAGCCCCGTTGTTGTTTGGTCTGGTGATTTCTGATTGAATGTTGGTCATTGACAGAAAAAGTTATTATAGGCAGTATGAACTGTATTATCTTCCACTGAAGATGTTAAATATTACTGAAGCAGATAAAAAAAATACCACCTGATCTCCTTAAACAAGGGTTAGCTTACAATTACACTCTTTGGGGCCAGACTTGTAGAAACTCTAAGATTCATCTCAAACCCCCTGACTTAGAAGACCACTTTCAAACTCAATGAATTTTATCAGGACTTGGATTTAGACTGTTATACAGGTTTGGAGTACGTCTTACATGGTATAAAGGTGTTAAATAGCTCCCCGGGGCCAAAATTCCAGTGTACCCATGTACTATCTCTTCTCCAGCACCACTTTGATTTTCAGAAACCTGTTCAATTTTCAGATACACAGCATCTATTATTTGGTACATCTGCTGTCTTATACTGCTTTTGTACAGCCCAACCTGCAGGAGATAGCCCCGTAGGCATACTTTAGGCCCTCTCTCTGAAACACTTGCTCCTCTCCAGTGTTAAACACTGCAGACTAACTAACTCATCTCTGATGTCTTCCTCCTCAGCTCTGGAGAACTGCTACCCTCACCTCTAACACTAGGTTTCTGCATCAAGAGCCAGCAGACTGTCCCCATACTGGGAAATGGTAAGGTACATCTCATGAATTCATTTCTCTCAAAGATAACAGTCTTATGCTGCCTGTTGTCTACTGCCTGAAAACTGATGTTCCAAATATTATGTACAATTTTACAGTTTTTTATAGTGAGAGGACAATATGGTACCAATTACTCCTTTGATCATGGCCAGAAGCAGAAGTCATAAAACCTAATTTTTTTAAAGTTTATCTCCTTAGGATACATTTTCCGAAGTCCAATTACTGGTCCAAAATAATATACATTTTCATGGCCTTTAGAATATATTATACTAAACTGCTTTCCAAAATAATTTCTGCCAAGTGAAATTACATATACTTGGATCTCTGCTATACAGCCAGGAAACTGAAGTAAAAACAAACAAAACAAACAAGGAATAAAATTGGGGCATATAATCCTTTAAGTTTATATGAGGGACCAAGGGTTAGTAGAAGTAAACCAAATGGGAATGTGAAACTAAATTCAGATAGAAATGTTCTGATGAAAGCATTCATTTGTTGAATATTGTCCCTCAAAAAAACTAGACAACTAGGAAAGAAGATTAAAAAAAATAAAGGTGAAGAAGGAGTCACATTTTCTTCTCCCATGTGGGAATTGTTTTATTCACCTCTCTAAAACAGTGAAAATACCTCAAGTACAATTAATAAACAGTTCAGCTAAAGAAAAAAACAAATAAGGTTCTCATAAAAGACATGCTGTATCAATCTTAACATCATTAATATAAGCAGTTAAAAATGGCATTGGACTTTGTATACAAACCTTATTATGAGTAAGTATCCCTAATGCCATTGTGGGAAAAGGTGGAGCACAGAAAGACAAATGGATGGATGGATACTTAGAAAATATAAATAAATAGTTTCTAAAACAGGACAAATAGCAAGGGAGATATCTGTGGACAAAATAACTTGAGATTCATCTTTATTTACCGTTCCATCTTCCATCAGCTTCAGACAAGAACCGAAATCTGCTAATCGAATATGTCCGTTCATATCCATCAATATATTGTCAGGTTTGATGTCCCTGAAAAGACAGACACATTCAATTTTTAGCTGAGAAAAATAAACATAACCATTTACTTGGTAAGATAAAAATCTGTCTGAAAACTTCAACTTCTTTTAAAACTAATACTCTAAGAACACCTACTTAACTACTTTATGGGCTCAAATCCTGGCTCTGATTCATATGAAAACTTTTGTAAACACATGTACTTTCAGTGTTCTGAAAAAAACTGCTTTTTGGCAGTTCTCCATCTTTTTTTTTCTTAAGAGAGAGAGAGTGTGTGTGTGCACACGAGCAAGTGGGGGTGGGGCATAGGGAGAGGGAGAAAAAGAATCTTAAGCAGACGCCATGGTCAGCATGGAGCCCAACATGGGGCTTGATAATCACAACCCTGAGATTATGACCTGAACTGAAATAAGAGTCAGACACATCACTGACTAAGCTACCCAGGCCCCCCTTCCAGGCAGTTTTCATTCAGGTTAAATTAATTTAGATTAATTTAGATTTGCACAGATTCCAATATGACCATGATAGGCCTACTTTCTGTATACAGAGAAGAGAAGTAATTACTTGACATACACAAAATGTACTATCCTCTAACCTGTGAAATTGGAGAAGGAAAAATATACCTCCTAGACCTGGAATGTAAATGTAAATAAATAAATTTTCAATTACTTCAGGTCAAAGTAACTGCAAAGAAATTTCTTCATAAAACTTATTTGAAATACAACTGACACAACTGCTTAGTAGTAATTTATGTTATATAAAGCTATTTATAGCTGTTAAGTCAAAAGCTTATAGGATATCCAAATCTAATTAACAACAAACTAAATCACACCGGTTTTTGTATTTGTTTCTACATATGAATAAAGAAAAGGGTTGCAAATCTTGGCAAAAATACATAAAATGATTCCTATAAAGACCCTGCAACACGTTTTCTAATCACCATCTAAAGATGAATTCCAAAAAAACTAAGAGATCAGACCCTCTCAATATATTCTACATGTAGAGGAAGAAAAAAAATCATCTATGAACATCAATTATACAAAAACAATTCTATTACCATGTGGTTAGGGTCACCTTTTTTCCCCTCATCTCTTTCTTTATTTATCTTATAACTGGAAGTCTGTACCTCTTAATCCCATTTATCTATTTCATCCATCACCCGAACCACCTCCCCTCTGACAACCTTCAGTCTGTTCTCTGAATTTAAGAGTCTACTTTTTTTCTTTCTTTGTTCATTAGTTTTGTTTTTTAGACCTACATATAAATGAAATCACCTGGTATTTGTCTTTTTTTGACTTACTTCATTTAGCATACTCTCCAGGTACATCCATTTTGTCACAAATGGCAAAAACATTATTTTTATGGTTAATATTCCACTATATATATTCCATATATATATGTATGTACATACACACACACACACACACACACACACACACACACACACACCCTATCTTCTTTGTCCATCCATCTATCAATGGATATTTTGGCTGCTTCCATATCTTGGCTACTGCAAATAATGTTGCAATAAACATAAGGGTGCACATATCTTCTCAAATTAGTGTTTTTGGGTCTTTGGGTAAATACCCAGGAATGGAATTACTGGATCATATGGTATCTCCATTTTTAATATTTTTGAGGAACCTCCATGATATTTTCCATAGTAGCTACACCAATTTATAATCCCATCAACAGTGCACAAGAGTTCCTTTTTCTCCACACCCTCACCAACACGTGTTCTTATCTTTTTTTATCCTAGCCATCCTGACAGGTATGATGTAACATCTCATTGTGGTTTTGATTTGTGTTTCCCTGATGGTGACTGATGTTGAGCATCTTTTCATGTACTTCTTGGCCATTTTTAAGTACTCTTTTGAAAAAAAAAAAAAAAACCCTTTTTTTTTTTTTTTTGGACTGCTTGGTTTTTTGTTATTATGTTGGTTGAGTTCTTTGTATATTTTGGATATTAACCCCATACTGGATATATCATTTACAAGTATCTTCTCCCATTTAACAGGTTATCTTTCATCTTGTTGATGGTTTCCTTCGCTGTGCAGAAGCTTTTTGTTTTGATGCAGTATCAACAGTCTATTCTTGCTTTTGTTTCCTTTGCCTGAGGAGACATACTTAGAACAAAGCTGGAGATATCACAATCCTAGATTTCCAGATATACTACAAAGTTATAGTAATGCAAACAGTATGGTACTGGCACAAAAACAGCTCAGTGGAACAGAACAGGGAGCCCAGAAATAAGCCCAAGCTTATATGGCCAACTAATCTATGACAAAGGAGGCAAGAAAATACAATGGAAAAAAGACAGTCTTTTCAATAAATGGCTTTGTGAAAACTGGACAGCTACATGCAAAAGAGTGAAACTGGATCACTTTCTTATGCCACACACAAAAATAAACTCAAAATGGATGAAAGACCTAAATGTGAGACCTGAAATCATAAAACTAAAAGAAAAGACAGACAGTAATCTCTTTGAGATTGACCTTAGCAGAATTTCTGTAGGTATGTCTCCTTACATAAGGGTCCTTTAATTTAACCTGAATGATACCACTTAAGGTCTCTATGCCTCCCATCTGTAATAAAAGGATAATACTATGGAAGTAATTTGTGTGTTGAACATCATGAGTTGGCAAATACTGACCTAGAGGCCAAATCCATCCCACTGCCCATTTTTGCAAATAAAATTTTATTATAAATAAAGTCACATCCATTCACTTATAAAAGTATTATGTATGGCAGGCTTTCCCACTACAACAGCAGAGCTGAGTAGTTCTGACTACAGACAGTGTGGGCTTCAAGCCTAAAATATTTCCTACTGGGCCTTTACAGAAAAAGTTTGGTGACACCCCTGAAGATGAGAGATGACTGCTTAACAGAGACTAGCAGATAGATGGACTGAAAACAACTTTAACAGGAAATTGGCTTCATTATCCTCAATGTTTGAATTTATCCCGTGGTCAGAATGGTGTATTAAAAAAAAGATTTTTCTGTTGTTTGGAAACATCAAAGAAGGATACTTTAGTGCTAGAAGGAACCTTAGAAATTACCTAAACCATTTTTAGAGGAGTATAAAGAATGTGTTTTATTTTTCATTTTAAAAAATATTAAGCTGTATAGTCACTACACATACTGCTACTGGCATATTTCTCAGATTTTAAAGAGGACTAAAGGAATTACAGAAAAGGAAAACAGTGAAAGGATTCATAATCATCAATAATATTTCAGGGTATTTTAAAAATAGAAACTATTAAAGTAGACAAACAGAAACTATTAAGTAGAAAAATAAGTTATATTTATAACAATAATGAAATGGAAAATAATTAACAGGATAGTACTGATGCTCCTTAAGTATCCCTTTACCCTTTCATATTATCTCCTTCACCCACTCCCCACAGGTTAGCAACCACAACCCTGGCAATTACTATATCCATATATATTTTATATTAGTACATGTAAACAACCATAAGATTATGAATCTTTCTGAATGTCTTTAAACTTCATAACTGATACCAAAAACTGTGTATAGCCTTAGAAAAATTATTTTATTCTAATACTGTGGCTAGAACATGTTACCCATGTTGACATACATTGTTCTAGTCTGTTAGTTTTACCTGCTACATGGAATACTTCCATAGACCAAATTTATCAGTTCTCCTGATTATAGAATTTAGTTCTCAACAATTTTAGATTGTGGATTATTTTGCTATCACACAAAATTCTGAAATGAATATTTTTACCAATGTCACCTAGTGCTCATCTATGAACATTTCTCCAGGCTGCATATTTAGAAGTGGGACTGCTATGATGAAAGACATGTGTGTCTTCAACTTCATAATCATGAATACCATTAAGTTTAAGAATCTTTTTTACATTATCACTAGTCATCTCACATTCCTCTTCTGTAAAATGCCAGTTAATATCCTTTACCATTTTCTTACACTGTGTGTGTGCTGTTTGTTGTTTGGGTTTTGGTTAATATTCAGGAATTCTGTTTACTCAAGCTTAGTTTACATGTGTTACAAATCTCTTCTCTCAGCATGTGGGCTTATTTTCCCACATTGTTTATAATGTCTTATTCGTAAAAAAATTATTTAATGTCAATGTAGTCTTCTAATTTACGATTTGTTTTTGTCTTTTTCACTATTTTCAGCTTTACTGAGATATAACTGACAAATAAAATCATACATTTAGAGTATACAACATGATGATTTGATAGATATACACATCATGAAGGGATTCTCACTGTTGAGTTAATTAACACACTCCTCATGTGTTCTTTTGTTTTTGGTGGTGTTTTTCAGTAAAACGTTTAATTTCCATTCTCTTAGAAAAGTTCAGTCATACAACACGGTTTTACCAACTATAGCCACATTATACAATAGCTTCTCAGACCTTATTCATTTCTTTTTATTTAATGGGATGGGTGGGGCAGAGAAGGGGGAAAGATAATTTCCAAGCAGACTCCCTTCTGAGTGACAAGCCCAACACAGGGCTCGAACCCATGACTCTGAGATCATGACCCGAGCTGATGTCAAGAATCAGAAGCTTAACTGACTGAGCCACCCAGGTGCCCCAAGACGTTATCCATCTTGTACCTGGAAGTTTGTACCCTTTGACCAACCTCTATTTCCCCAGTCCCTGGCAACCACAGTTCTCTCATAATTTGTGGTTTGTGTCCCAGGAAATTTCCCTTACCTTTTCCCAGAGGTCCTACAGATACTGTCCCATATTTTCCCCTATAAGTTTCAAAGTTTTACTTTTCACTTCAAGTCTTTAGTCTCCCTGGAATAAAAGTTTGCATGCAGTGTGAGATAAAGGCCCATCCCATTTCCTTCTGTCCCAACAGCACTGACTGAACGACATCCTTTAACCACTGATTTCTCCCACCATTTAGCTTGCAAACCAAGTGGGTCTGTTTCAGAACTTCCTAAAGCAGTTTCCCTTAACAGTCTCCAGGGGAAAAGGAAGACTATTAGTAATCACCAGAACAATAAGCATAAACT